TGGAGTTCAGGTAGAATCCTGCAGCAAATCCATCAAGTTCTGAGTTTTTTGTTACAGTTTAAATCTCACTGATTTTTATGGATTTGATGAAATTATTTTCCATCTTGGTTTAATTTAGCATGTAATTTAAATTCATCCATTTCTTTGTTTTTGAATTTAGTGGAGTATAGATTTTTAATTTATATCCTCAGGATTTTCTTAATTTCATTGATATCTGTAATAATGTCTCCTTTTTAATCACTAATTTTATTAATTTGGGTCTTCTCTTTATTTTGCTTAATTTAGCTAATGGTTTGCCAATCTTGTTTATCTTTTCAAAGAACAAATGTTTAATTTTATTAATGTTTTGTGTTTTTGTTTTTGTTTTCATTTCTTTCATTACTTTCTGCCCTGATTTCTGTTGTTTCTACCTATCTATTGTTTTGAGTGTCTGGTTTTTCCTGGTTTTTCCAAGGCTTTACAGTGTATCATTAATTTATTTGTCTGAGATTTCTCAAAAATTCTTATGAAATACCTTAGCATTGTAAACCTTTGTCTTAGGGTTGCCTTCCTTGTGTCTAATAGATTTTGATATGTTGTGCTTTCGTTTCCTTTGAATTCTTGGTATTTAAAAAATTTTTCCTTCTTGATTTCTTGAGTGACCTGTTCATGCTTCAGTAGTGTGTTCTTTAATTTATATGAGTTTGTGGAATCTCTGTCTAGTTTTATTCAGTTGTGGTCAGATAAAATACAAGATATCTTTTCAGTTTTCTTCTATTTGTTGAAACTCGCTTTGTACCCTAATATGTGATCAATTTTTTATGAAAGTTCTATAGCCTGTTGAGAAGAATATGTATTCTTTAGTGTTTTGGTGGAACATTCTGTAGATGTTTGATCTATCCACTTAATTTTTGATGTCATTTAACTCCAATATTTCTCTTTATTTTCTTTTTCTCCAGATGACATTGGAGATGTAGTACTGTTGTTGAGTGTAGTACTGAAGTCACTCACTATGTTGGGATTAATCTATGACTTTGCACCTAGTAGTTTTTGTTTTCTGAAATTGGGTACATCTACGTTTGGGACATTAATGTTTAAAATTGTAATGTCTCCTTGATGGAATGTCCTTTGATCAGTATTAAGTGACCGTCTTTATTCTCTCTGGAATAATTTTGGTTGGAAATCTATTTTGTTAGATATTTGAATAACTATGCCTGCTTGTTTTTTAGTTGCATAGCTCAGAATACTTTTTATGTCCTTTTACCCTAAAGTGGTGTCTATATTTAATGGCGATGTGTGTTTCTTGGAGACAGGAAAAAGATCTCTCTTGTTTTCTAATCCATTCTACTACTCTATGTCTTTTTATTGGTTCAATTGAGACAATTAATATTGAAAGTTGTGTTGTGGTTTGGTTTCTGTTACTGAGCTAAAACACTGACCAAAAACATCTTGGGGAGGAAAGAGTTTATTTGGCTTACAGATTACTGAGGCAACCAATCACTGAGGAAATTAAAGGCAGGAATTCAAGGCAGGAACTTGGAGGTAGGAGCTGAAACAGAGATCATGGAAGAATGCTGCTTAATAGCTTGCTTTCTCTGGGTTGTTCAGTCACACTTCTTATTCAGCCCAGGCCCACCTGCCCAAGAATGGTACACCCTACAGTGGAGTGGGTCCTCCACATCAATCAGCAGTCAAGAAAATGTCCTACACACATGGCCATAGGCCAGTATGATGGAGGAAATTTCTGTTTAGAATCCCTCTTGCCAAGTGTTTCTAGTTTGCATCAAGATGACTCAAACTAACCACCACAATTGTTTTTTAATATGTTATTCATCATTAAAATAGTTTTTTTGGCTTTGCAGTTGTGGTCTTTTGTATCATCGAACTCACTTTTCAAGGCTCTTCATTCTCTAATATTTCTATCAAATAGTCAGTTGTTGTTCTTATGGTCCTGCCTTTGTAGGTAACTTGAGCCTTCTCTTTTGGCTTTTAAGACCTTGTCTTTTGTCTGTAGTTTTAGTGGTTTACATGTAATATATCATGGGGAGTTCCTTTTCTGGTCCTGTCAATTTGGTATTCTATAGGCTTCTTGTTTATTGATGGCCATTTCTTTCTCTAGTTTTTGAACAATTTCTTCTATGGTTTTATTGAAAATATTTTCTATGCCTTTGGTGTGGTGCTCTTCTCTTCCTACTGTGTTCATAAGTCATAGATTTGGTCTTTGCATGGGGTCTCCCAAAGGTTTCTCATGTTCTGTTCAAGTTAAAATATTTTCTCTTTGACATTTACTAACTGATGTATTCCTCTGCCTTGTCTTCGAGTCCTGGAACTCATTTTATACATGATCCATTCTATTGGTGAGGCATTCCACTGAACTTTTTATCTGAGTTTTCATTTCTATCATCATTTCAGTTTGGTTTTTCTTTGGAAATTTTTACCTCTTTTTGAATTCTGTTTTTGTATATTTAATTGACTTCTTTATTTAATTCAAATCTCTGTTTTTCTGTTGGAGTACCTTTATTTCTTCTTTAGATTGTTTGAACATAGTTGTAATCATTCTTTTGAATTCTTTGGGTTCCTTCCAAATTTTTATCATTGGGAATAATTACTGTGGGATTGGAAATTCTTGTAAAAGACATACATGTTATCTTGTTTCTTGGGTATATGTTGCATTGTTCCTGTGTGGAACTTGTATGTCTGAAGTTGCTTTCATGGTTGCTTCCCCTGAGAATTGTCTAATGCCTCACACTTGTGTGCTTATCCTGGCTCAGTTCTGGCCATCACCATAGGTCTGCAGCTTCCACTGCAAGTTGTACAAGTCCTCATGCCTGTGGACCTTCTTAACCAGTCCCCACTCTGTTTTTGCCAGAAGTTATAAGACTCCCTGCACCTATGTGCCTTACCCAGGGTCTGCACTGGCTTCTTGCCTGTATTAGTGGCTTCTGTTGTGAGTTGCAGAAGTCAGTGCTCCCCTGTGGGGCTTACCTTGGTTACCTCTGATTCCCACTCTGGACTGGCAATTTCTTGTGGGAGTGTTGGAACTCCTAGTGCCTGTACAACTTCTCCTGTGTCAGCTTTGGGCCACACCCTGGGTCTTCAGCAGCCACAGTAAGTTACGGAAATCCCTGTACCTGTGTGCCATACTCTGTCAGATCTGGCCTCCTCTCTGGCTCTGCAGCTTCTGCCATGAGTTGTGGAACTCCCTGCAGGCCTGGGTTCTTCACCCTGTGTTAGCTGCAGACTCCATGGTCCATCCACAGCTTCCTCCTGTTTCTCTCTCTTTTTAAAAAAATTAATTTGGCAAAGGTTCTGTCAACCTTATCATTTCAAAGAACAAATTCTTCATTGTGTTTTTTATTTTTTAATTTAAATTTTTTTTTGAGAATTTCATACATGGGTGCTATATTACATCATTTCTACTTCTCCATCTACAGCCATTTTTTTCCAATTTTTTAATTGATTTCTGCCCTGATATTAGTTATTTCTTCCCATCTACTACTTTTGGGTTTGGTGTGATCTTGTTTTTCCAGTGCCTTTGGGTGCATCACTAAGTCATAAAATTGAAATCTGTCTGATATTTTAATGTAGGCTCCTAGAGCTGTAAACACTCATCTGTAGACCACTTTCATTGTGTTCCACAGATTTGGTATGTTGCGTATTCATTATTGTTCCGTTCTAGACTTTTTATTGTTTTCCTCAATGATCCATTCTTCATTCACTAGTGTGTAGTGTCATATCTAGGAATTTTCTGTATTTTCTGTTCTTTTTCTTTTGATTTCTAGTTTTATTCCATTATGATCTGGTAGAATGAGGGAGTTATTTCAATTTTCCTGTAGTTATTGAGGCATTCCTTGTATCCTAGTATAGTTTAGAGGAAGTTCCAAGGGCTGAACAGAAGAATGTGTACTCAATAGTGTTTGGTGAAATGTTGTATAGATGCCTGATAATGTTCAGTTGTTTTCTTGTGCCATTTAACTGCAGTTTAACTTTGCTTACTTTTTTGTCAGATGACCTGTCTCCTGTGTGAGTCTCCTAGTTGAAGTTCTGTACTATTACTGTGTTAGAATTGATGTGTAGCTTATTTCCTAGTAGTATTTGCTTATGAAAATGGGTGCACCTAATTCTGGTGCATTGTATTTAGAATTTTGGTGTATTCTAGGTATATTGTTCCCTTGATCAGAATGAAATGGCTGACTTTATTTTTTCTGATTAGTTTTGCCTTGGAATTTGTCTTCTCAGACATTCGAATAATGACACCTGCTTGTTTGCCAGTCCATGTGTATAGCTAAAAGCTACATAACAAGAAACAATGCCAGACAGGAGATACCTTCCTTTGATATTGTCTGCTGTTGTAGGTGAACTGTGTTATTGTAGACTATACAAAGATGGGTTTTTAATGCAGTCAGCTTGCCCATGTCTTTTGATTGAGGAATTGAGACCATCAATATTCAGAGTTATTATTGAAAGATGTATACTAATTTCTTTCTTTTGCCAATTTTGAGTGTTGTTTCCTTAGCCCTAGCTTGTATAACATCTCTCTTAGCATTATTTTTCACTATAGCATCATTGATGTGCTGGCCTTTCTCTTCAGTCTCGAGTATTCCTTCCAGTATTCTCTCTAAGACTGGCTTGGTTATTGTGAATTCATGTAGCTTGTTTTAATCAGGGAAAATGTTTCTTTCTCCTTCAGGTATGAGAGATACTTTTCCTGGGTGATGTAGCCTGAGTTGGTATCTGTGGCCTTTCATATCTAGAATCACATTTCTCTAAACACTTCTGGCCTTTTAAGCTTCCGTGAGAAACCAGCTGTTCTTAGAAGCATGACTTTTTCATTGAACTGGCCTCTTCTCGTAGCATTCAATACCCTTCCTTCATGTTCCATTCATGTGTGTTTTACAGTTTATGGTTTTCCCTGATTGAATGATCCCATTCCTCTACCTTGTATCAAGCCCCAATATTCTGTCTTCTTTGTGGTCCATATCTTAGGGAAAGGCACTTACTAATCTATGTTTTATTCACAGTTGTCTGCAGCCCTGGATCGTATAATCCGCGGGATGGAATTCACTGCTTCCAGTGCAACAGCAGCCTAGTGTTTGGAGCGAAGGCATGCATATAGGACAGTGCCTTGTATGATCCAGTGGTTTATTGCACATAAGTCTGTTTTTGAAATGCTAAAATATAATAAATCACTATTATGACAAAATTAAAAAATCATATTTTACAAAGAAATGGTGTCATCATTCAATCCAACACTGTATGTATAATCTTTATACGTTAATGCCAGATCTATATCTGACTCCCAGATAACTCTTGTATCACACTGCATTTTAAAAATTGTTTGAGATGTTCTGTATCTTCAGGAATTTTGAAAAATATATCTCATTTTATCTTTACTATATGTTGCCTAAATTCAGACAACCATATTCTTTTATAAGAACTTTTATTATTTCATCTCATTGCATTACTTTGATTTAGTTTTATTGGATTTTAGACTTTAACTTGGCCTTTCACATCTCCAAGTCAGTTTTTTAAATGTCTGGGGTCCTATTATTGTACTTGTCATCATAAGACCTAGTCCCAGCGATACTGTGAGTTTTTAATATAGTTCAGTATGTCTATCTTAAGCTTTCAGTTTAAAGTTTCTTAAGCCAGGTGTGGTAGTGCATGCCTATAAGCACAGTAATTGGGAGGTAGAGGCAGGATATCAGGAGTTCATAGTCATCCTCAGCTACATAGTGAATTTGGAGCCAGTCTAGGCTACAGGAGATCCTGTCTCCAAAAGTCCCTTACATTACCTTCTTGACATTTTAGAACAGAGTAATCATTGAACTTTTTAAAGAGACTAAAGCAGTTTCTTTCCCTGATAATACTTCTAGTAAAAAAATGAACACAATTTTCATTCCTTTTACTATTAAAATGAATATTGTGTGACAGAAGTTTCTGCTGCTACCTCTAATATTTCTCTTTTCTTACATTGGGATATTAAATGTCAATGTGAAGAATTGCCAAAAGTAATTATTTAAATACAGGAAAATTCATGAATACCTTAAGAGTAGTTCTGTTTTCCTCCTTGTCACCTGATTTACATTTATAACCTATTTACTGCATGGACCTGTTGTGCTCTTCCTATTTCCTTTCTTACAACAACACAAGCCTCTGTGAATGGAAAATGTAACACAGGTTGGATCTCAGCACAGTTGACTAAACAAGGATTTATGCTTGTTGGCTTTCATTAATTAATTTAGTTCATAAATCTTCTATTTGATCACCTTGTGGACAAACAGCCTCAGAATTCTCACACAAATACCAGAAGGTAAATGGCCTGTGGCTATACTTCACTATCCCTCAGGGGTTTCATTATCAGGAGGTGATTGTTTTCTTATGCTCATAGGGGTTTTTATATGTTCTTCGTCTGGTAAGTAAATTCTTGAGTATTGCACTGTTTGGATGAAGTGTGGTTTTTCTTTATCACGTATGTTCTGTAACTAAGACCTCAGTGGTCTCTAAAAGTTACATCATCCAACTTCTTAAGTGCATATAATGATTGATAAAGTCAGTAGTCAGCCTGAGAAAGCAAGATTTACCTGGAGTTATGTGTCATCCTGAAGTCACTGATGGTCTGGGGTAAGAGCAGACATGAGAGGAGGGTGGCCAGAGTAAGTTCAGGATTCTTAGTTCATACAGGCAGACTTTTAAATGAAACATTGCAAATACCTGAGGTAGAATGAGGTAAGATGAAGGGAGAATGAGTTAAGATTAAGATAGTCCAGGGTAAGAGAACAATTTTTAGAAATGAAAGCAGGGGACAAAGTAGGAAGAAAGGGAGAGACAGGAGTCACTACCTTCCTGTGTCACACAGTGCAGTGGTCTACCTTCTTTTGTATAACATCATGGCTGTTTTAACTGAGCATGTGTTTGTGTTCAGCATTCAGCTATGCTAGGATGTTCCTAGTTTCATAGTCCTCTTCAAACGATATACTTATGTTTTTATACTAATTAAAGGTGTGTGGGTAAAATCATTTTAGTAACTAAGACAAAAGTTGTTTCTGTTATATTGCCAGGTAAGGTGGGCATTATTGAATGTTGTTAAAAGTGATGACAATGTATGCCAAAAATTATGAGCTATCTGTAAAGGTTATTGTCATAAAGCAGTTTCATGTGGTTTGGTTTGCATTGAAATAATTTCTTCCTATATAAATGCCTTAATTTTCTACCAACTTCTAAAGAAGGCAAATGTGATTCCCATTTTGTGTTCATTAGATTCATAATAAATATGTAATGTATGTTCATTTGAAAGTATGGAAAAAAGAACTGTAATAAGTTTGATCCAGTAATGTCATATCCTGGAAAAGAGTCTAAGAAGTAAATCACAGATAGGGGAAATATTCCATCTAGTGGCACTGATTTCCACAGTATGTATAATAATAAAAGAATGAACAGGAATGCCCTGAGGAGAGGAATGGTTGAATAAACTATGCTATGTTCTCATGACCGGCTGCAACTGAGCCATTATAGTGAACATCATGTTTTCAACTTGGATGAATTAATTCAGATTAAATATATACTTGTTTGTATTTATCTGCATTATCATTATCTGTATTGTTTAGCTTTTTAAAAAAATGCACCAAAATGTTTATCTTATGATTGTCTCATGTAATAGATTCATGCATGGGGGTTTTGATGCCTTTCGTTGTCCAAGTGTTTCTTTAATGATAATTCTTGGAAGCAATAAACATACTTGGAAAAACCAGAGTGACAGCCATTAGAGAAGACATTACTGTTCATCCCTCTAATACTAACTTCTTTCCTCCCATCTTCCTAGCATAGCACCAGGTTTTCTTACTCCAGAGCATAGTTCCTAGCCAGCTAGCAGTGGACCTTTTCTGGATACCATGAAGTGAACCAGCCATAGGGATAGGAAGAAGCCTACACTGAGGACAGGAAATAGAGATACCAAAAGAACTGAGCACTGAAGGTGACTTTGAATCACTGCCTCAATTATATGTGAGCCCCTGCCTGCCATGGTCCTCCCCTTTCTCGGAGATAGAACATTTATATTTTGTTTAAGGGAGTTAGGTTTTTGGTTACAGAATAAATATTACTAGTTAATTCAATACTAATTACAAGGGCATTATAAAAAATGAAAACTGATTTGTAAATTACCAAATAGTTTTAGAACATAGTCATTAGCAATGTTAGCTTTCTGCTAAATCTCCTACATTTATTATCATGGAGTATTTTTCTTAGTATTATTTGTATTTCCAAGCTGTTTTATTTGCTGCATTCATATAGCTTCAATGACTGTAGTATTTCATTTAGTCCAGCACAAAAACAAGATAAAATGGGTAAAAATTCTAGTTGTGAGATATTTCTGTTGCTTCTATGTTTTCATTTATATGGGCCTCCTTTCTGAAACTTCTATGGTGTTTTTATGTCTTCTTTGTATTAAATACTCAGAATTGCTAGGTTTAGATATTTCTAATCCATTGGACCATTCTCCAAATTATAGTTTCACCAGAGAAAAAGTACATGTTTTGCTGTACTTTCTCTGATGACATTGTTAAGACTATTATTTAATTTGACAGATAGAAACTCCATATTTTCATTTTTGAGTACTAGTGAGGTTGAGGTTTCCTCATATAATGCTGCTGCTGTGGATGATAACAGTGTTTATTGAGTGCTTATTAATTTTCCTATATCTTTAATTATTGCCATTCTCATTTCATATGTGAAAAATAAAAGTGATTAAACACTATCCCTGGGTTTACACAGCGGCAAGTAATAAAGATGTGAGTCAGTTATGACCAGGTTCTCCTGAACGTTAACGAGAGTCCTGACTGCTCTCTCTCAGGTGGTATCCTCACCTCCCATCACTTGAAGAGCTTCTCTCCTCCTCCATCTCCAGTATAGCTCTGTCCTCACAGTTGTGGATGTTATTAGGTCTCCAGGCACTTGACTGACCTTCTGTTCCAGTAAAAGAAGAGACTGAATACCCCTTGGGAGATTCTTACACTATTTTGAAGTGACCCTATTAAGGAAGCTTGAGCTTGATGTATTCATTCTTATTAATGGGGAAAAGGAGTACCTGCACGTGGACTTGGAATAGGTGTTACATGCACTGATACTCACCGTTCATGTGAAGAAGCTCTGCTGTCATCTGTTCATTCTCTCCCTCAGGTAATGCCGCTGCAAACTCACCGGTTACTGAATCCAGTTTGAATGTCAGAATCCTGGATAATATGCTGAAGCTTACATCAGATCCAGGGTCCTTGTGATCTAGAAAAATTACCCCACACTACCTAGTGTATAATGAATGGGAAGACAGAGATAACTAGTTGAAGATTCCCATGCAGAAAAAAAAATAAAAATAAAAGGAACCATGTCAGTCATCATCCAGTTAAAGAAGGAAGGGGGGGGGTCTTCAAATTAGCAAATTAGTTGGTTGCTGGGTCTAACTTGTAGGACCACCTGCTGTATTCATGACATTTATCTTTTAGAAGTTATACTTAAGTTTCAATTCACTAGTTACTAGCAGTCTGAGGTGTAGGCTGTCCTTGGCCGGGCTCAATTTCTGTGCAGGAAAATGGATACTCCTCAACTTAAAAATGGGGCTATGCTCCAATAGTAAACCTGTTATTTGTTGAAGTATCAGCTGAAAATGTGCTTGATATGTTGGATCTACCTACTCAAACTAGAAATATGTCAGATGATGCAGTGCTGTAGTAACAGTCATCAGTACCCTAATAAGGCATGTGAGTAACTAGTAGAAGGCACTTGGGACATTGATGCTTGTACATGGTTTGGGCATAGTGGACTTAAGGAAGATGTCAGAATGTTCAGTTTCTGTTTCTTCTCATTATCTATTTCTCAAGAACGTGTCTTGTATCATCCTGTCAGCCTTTGTGTGTCTTTGATAACTGATGCCCATTTTTTTAACAGTCACATGCCACTACTGTTACAGTGAACACCTCTGCCAGTTTCTTCAGTATGAACTTTCTTAATGCCTTGGCTATAACTTCTTCCTCTGCTCAATTCTTGGCTTCCTACAGTTTTTGATCAGCTTCCCAAATGAAGTGTTCTTCATCCTCAATGCCAACAAGCTCACAAATACCCAATATATCAATTTCAATTCTAGCGCTTTTGCTAACACTAATACCTTAGTACTCTTACACCAACAGTAGCATCTTTGTTAAATCCTTCGAATGTGTCTACCTTTTTGCTAAACTTTATTCCTAACTCTGTTCCTGCACCACCATTTGACTTCCTCCCATGCTGCAGAGATGTTGTGGATAACATGTAGAATGGTTAACCCTTTCTAAAACTTGGAGCATTTGGTTTCATTCAGTCACTTCAATAGCCCATTTACACGATTGGCAAAGGTAATCTCGTTTGAATGCAGCTGTTACATTTTACTTTATTGCTGAATGAAAGTAGTTGTGTTCAAGAGCAAATATACAACCTTTAGAACAGACTCAGCTCTCCTGAATCATTATCTAACCTTGAATGGAATATTCTCCTACAATATTCTTGTGTTACTTTTCTCAATACTGTGACCACATGCTTGACAAAGATGACTTAAGGGAGGAGTCATTTTGGCTCAGATTGGAGGGTACAGTTCATCATGGTAAGGAAGTCATGGTGGTATGAGAATGAGGCAGCTGGTTACATTGCAACTGCAGTCAGGAAGCAGAGTGGGATGAATGCTGATTGCTTG